AAAAACATTTCAAACGATATATATTTTCATCATACATTATCAACAAAGTTATAATGACAATTTTCCTAAATTGCACGCGACGATTCACACAAAATGTATAGGTATTGCTCCTGTGTGTGTGTGTGTGTAATCATCAATCGTAAAACCATCGATTCGTTTAACCAGAGAGCCGCTAAAATCGAAAGAAAACACGGGAGAAGAGTGATCGGTTCCACGCGGTACAAAAATATTATTCCTCCATACGAAACGCTCACTTGCACCCAAACGGGTAGAAGCGTTGCATCTTGTACAAACGATGCAAGGGCGAGCGTGACGATGATGATGCACTGATCCCTTTTCGAGGTCCCGTGATGGCGGTTGTACGAAAGAAATCAGCCGGCTCTTTCGATCAATTGAAAAACTCGTCGTCGTCGAACGGATCGTTTTCCCGACTGAATATGTTCACCGAGTCTGACTTTTTTATGTACTGGTCACCCTTTCCCCGGCTGTTTGCGTACTTTAGGTGCTTGGAACTCTTGACTGGCACGGACGAGCACTCGGGCACCTGGTCCTCCAACTCGGAACGAAAAGCAAAGGCATCGTCGTCGAATCTCGGGTCGCCGTTGAAGAACGAGTCCCTTCCACTGTCCTCGGAGGCGAACCCATCCGCGGCCGGATCTTTCACGTCCGAGGGCAACTCCTCCGGCGTTACCTTCAAATCCGACCCGATCCTCGGTCTGTCGGACGCGTCGCTCGAGGCGCTCGCGGTCGGCGTTAGCTCGTCGTCAAAGTAACTCGACGACTTGTACGCCTTTGGTTCCCTTCTCGACTGTTCCTTCAGCCCTCGCGGGCTCCTGGGACTGGTTGGCTGTTTCCCCTCGACTTCGGGCCGAATCCTGGCCTCGGGGCACACCACCGGGTCTATCGGGGCTTCGGTGCGCTCCGCGCTCTGGGTGAAGTCGTCCTCGAACGGGGACGTCTGGGACTTTGGCTGTGGCCGCGTCCGGTGCCTGTTCATTCGCTTCCTGTGCAAACTCTCGGCCTTCGAGTCCGGATTCTCGGACCAGTATGGCCTCTCCCCCCAATTTTCGAACTCTTGGTCGCTGCTCCAGTAGCTCTCTCGGCTCCGCGATCTGTAGGGTCTGTGGTACGGGTCGGCGTCGTTATCGCTGCACTCGGACCTCGATACCGCGCACTTTGGCCGGACGTCGACGTACATCATGTCCCTGCCCTCGTTGGCGCTGTTCGGCCGCTTTGGCCAATATTTCTTCCTCGTGAGGTACCTAGGCGAGTCCTCGGGGTGCTTTGGGCCGTACTCCTCTTCCCAGCTGGGGGGATAGTCGTAGTGCCGGTCCCTACCTTCGCGGAAGTAGTGGGGGTCGTGTTTCTTGAATGACTCCCTGGACGGGTACTCCCCTTCCGGGGCAGCCCGTCCTCCCCTGTAAAAGACACCGTCGTCCTCGTACCTTCTTCTTTCGTATTCCCGCCTGTACCACCTTTCGTCCTCTTCGTAGCCCATGCTCTCTTGGCTGCTGAATCTTTCGCGCTCCTCGTCGGTCCACATGGCCGGTCTCCTTTTGCACTCCTCCTCGTAGTACGGGTGCTCGGGTCCCCAAAAGCCTTCCCTCTCCCCGTTCCAGGGCCTCTGCTTCAGCCGGCACATGTAGTAGGCCTTGTACTCCTCATCGTCCTTGTAAGGGGCCATGTTTTTTCGATGCAAGTGCCGCCTGCGTTCTTCCTCCCACCTTGGGTCGTCGTGCCAAGATTCGCGGGGTATCGGCTCACGAGGTCGGTGACCGCCGCCTTTGACCCACGGCGCACCTCTGGTCTTACGGCACATTTTGTCACGGAAAATTCTGTCCTTCTCGGGATCGGCGGTTTCCTCGTAGAAAGGCCTTTCCTCGAACGGTGGTAAATCGTACCTAGGGTGTCGCGCCACCGAACAACACGGCTGCTCTCCCTTGGCTTTCCCGTTGCTCTCTTCGCTCTCCTCGTCGTCTTTCCACTCGTTGTCGCTTTCTCCCGAGTGTCGGTGTATACTCCTTCTAGTTGGCGCTTCTCGACTAAACTCCTTACCCTCGGGGGACCACGGGGATGTACCCCCGATAGATCCTTGATGGCCTTCACCAGTTGACGATTTGCTCGTTTGAAACGCGTTGGATTCGAATTTCGCCCAATTATCCTCGTCCTTGGAACCCTCTTTTTCCTTCTTCGTTTCCGCAAGTGAACCATACATGGAATCCAACTTTGGGGGTAACGGCTTACTTTCTTTATTGCCACGGTGCGTGTCTGTGTTCAACATCTTTATCTCTTCGAATATGTCCATCACCGTGGTCTTTACGTCTTCGTCTTTCTTGGTCGTTATTTTCGCGCTGATCGACGTTTGTTGCGTAAAGTTGTCCGAAAACAAGCTTTGTAAATCCACTTCAGTGGCCGACATGACTGAGCTTTTGAGCGGCGAAGTGACAAAATTGTCGTTATTCAGGCTCACTTGCTCCACTTCTTCAATTATTTCGCGTAAGGCTGCATACTTGTCGCTGGACGCCGAAATTGACGATTTGATTTCTGATTTCTTGTCGACGATTTTCGACAATTCGTTGACCTCTTCTGCCGTGATGACGAATTTGTCCAAGGATTCTTTCGATTCGTTCATATTTTCGCCGTTGCTCATTTTTTCCGCTTCATCGCTTTGTACTTTTGTCACATCGGATGACGAGTCGTTCTTCCGGAAAGTGTCTTTGCTGCAAAACTGTTCGTCGGACTCGGTCTCCTCTTGGGAATTGATTTCCATTTCTTTCGGAGATTCGGAATGATCTTCAACCGATTTCGACTCACAGGCAGACAAAACTCCTGCGTTTTGGCTTTCAACGGTGGATGGTAACTTGACCGACAAATTTGCCAGAGAAGCAACAGTTTCGTCCATCTCGTCACTTTGAGCGTCGTCTTCTATATCCCCCGGCTCTTCTTGATTTTCCGACGTAGCTGTCTCTTCCTCTTCGCTGGATTTTTGCGCTCCAAACTCATGGTTGGCGTGCTCCAATTCCAATAGTTCCCTAAATACAGCGTATTTATCGTAATCAGTGTTTTTAGATTTCGGCTCTTGATCAAACGTCGCTTTAAAAAGTGGCTCGTTTGACGAAGTTTCTGCAGTCTTGGATAATGATTTTTCGGCACTAGTATTCAAATCGTTGCTCTTTGACGGAGCGTACATTTTATCGGTGGATGCCGTATTGCTGTCGGATAAATTGTCCTTCCTTGCCAGGGATTCGATACATTCCGTCAACTGTTGCAACGTCAAACTCGTCACTTCGGCTACGGACATTCCGAGATTATCCGCCAAGTCAGTTAAAAAAGTAGACGTCAGTTGACTCAAGGTTATATCCTTGGTGAGGTTGGCCCAATTGATCTCGGGCTTGTTCATTGGAATGCTTTTCACGGGAGACTTTGGTGATTGAAGTATGGAGTTGAACGAATCTTCAAAGCTTGAGTTTGAAAATCCTGAGTTTTTGTCGGACCTCTTGGGCAGTTGCGGTAAGGGAGGGCTAAAATTATCATCGAATCGGTCTTTCATATTTTTCGGTGAACTAGTTCCGCGATACTTGCGCGTGGGCGAAGGCGAGCTTTCTTCTCGCTCCAGGAAGTCGTAGTGGAAGTGTCCCGCGCCATGAGGTGGTCTCGGAGGTGGTTTAATTCCTCCTCTGGAGCTATGCTTCTTTGGCGGCAGTGGGGGAGGATTGATTAAAATACTTCCAGCACCTCTTGGCGGAGGTTCGGGAACATTGTCCATTTCTGCACTAGAACTCGACAACCTAGAGTTTGCACCGGATGAGCAAGACCTCAGTGGCGACGCGGGTGATTCGCTCGTGGATGAAAAATCAACTGGGAATGATCTATCGATCGACTGCGACTTACCTCCACCGTATTCCGATATGTATTCGTTTCTACGTGAGGAATGCAAATACTTTTTTGGGCTTTGCAATTTAACTAGAGATTGCATACTTTCAGTAGATTCTCTGCCATCGTATTTACTAGAGTTCATCGACATGGACATGACGTAGCCGTAATGCGAATTTTTCGGTCTTGTGGTTTCCTCCGGTGGCAAGGAAACTGATAAAGATTGATGTTGCATCGATCTCTTCCAGTCCCTGCGATACGATTTTGGGGAACTCGTTTTCTCGCTCGCGGGTACATCGGCCTCTTTAAATTTGTCAAAGTCAGCGAATTCACCATCTTCCAACTGACTCGGCGTTTCCGATTGTAGATTCTCCACCGAATCAGACGTAGCGTTGAAATTCGTTGGAAAAGTATCTTCCGAATTGGTCGTGGCCAAATCTTTCAGCACCTTTTTCGGGGGATTTTTCAAATGCTGGAAAAAGTCTTTCTTATCCACATACGGCTTCTTAATTCCCGTTCCAAGAGGATCCAACTCCGAAAAGATATCCACCTCTTTGTAACGGTCTTGCGATTGAGATGGCTAGAAAAAGTATAAAAAACGTGTTAAATTATACATACAGTTAACATTAGTGTAAGCTCTTAATCCTCTTACCGGCTCCTTGTCTTCATCGCTTGAAGAATTCTTTCTCGGAGTACTGGGTCGTTTGCCCTCATTGAACAACTCCTCAGTTTCCTTATCAAACCAATGAACGGATCCTTGAGGAGGCGGTGTTCTGCTGTTAACCACGTTTGCCGGACTAGACGTACCGGACGTTGGCGTTTGCTGCACAGTCTGTTGCCTTTCAAAGTGACTTCGTTTGGAAGATGAAGGAGGTGGAGGTAAAATAGGTTTGATTTGTTCTTTTATCTATTAAATGAAAAAAAATAAAGAATTAACGATGAGAAAACCGATAATCAATGAAAACCAATGGGGTAACAGTTGGAAAGAGCAGCGACCTTCATATTTGCGAACGAGTCCCCAAAGGGATCCGTTTCGAAGGGGTCCTCGGCAGCCCTGGGGTTATCGGGCGTAATTTTTTCCATCTGATGGATCCCCTGTTGCAACGAGTTCAACTCAAATTGTAAATCCAACAAGTCGGCCACGACTCCGCTTTGCGTCTCGTGTTTCCTCGATCTGTCGATTTCCGAGCCCGTTCGGTGAAGCGCCGCTTCACTCCCGGCCGCGCCCTGCTTTTGAAAATACAAACATCTATATTCTTTCGAAACGCTTTACGCGAATCGTCTTATGTATAATATAGAAGTGCAGGCACATATGTACCTTGGTATCCGGGGAGCGTTCGATCGAGTAACTAGCCCCCCTTATGACGTTGTTTTCAATGTGTTGCTTCGCCAATTCGATTTCTTTCTTCTTTATTTCGAAAACAACTTGAAAAAGATCCCGCATGGCAATCACCACCTGAAAACAGTTTTATTTGGTAAAAAAAGAAAAAAAAATAAAATAAAATAAAAAATTGCGTAACGAAATCAAAGTACCTGACTGGCAGCCTTGTCAGTCTTGATTCCAAAAAACCGGTGCCCCGTATCGGGTGAACCAAAAATGTAACCAAATGCCCGAGAATCGCTCATGTCTTGGGCAATGAACGATATCTTGTGCACCGGGTGGTGATACAGACAGTCCTGGAAACAAGGACAACGATTGTAAAGGCACATGTATACATAGCGGGGGGGGGGGAGGGGAGGAAAAATAAATCTCACTAGATACTCACTCCGTTTTTCTCGTCCCTCAAACGCAGCCCGTCGATATTGATTTGCACGGTGATCCGCTGCTTGTGCTCCCCGGCCGCTCGTATCGCCATTTTCAGGTCGGCAAGCGCATTCTGACACATCCGATCGCCCCGGGCTTCCGACACCTCCAATATACCGATGAGCTTCGCCTTGAAGGAGACACCGTCCCCCATAAACCGAGCCGGTTCGTTTTTTACTGAAAACACGATTCATCCGTTATCCAGTGGTCCCACAAGTAAACTCTGACTTAATGGGGGATGAAATGAAGAAACGAGAGATGAGTGGAAAAAAAAAAAAAAAAAAAAAAAAAGGAAGAAAAAAACCTTAATCTACTTTTCCGTTCTTCGATCCGTCTCGACATGGACACTCGCGAGCTGATAAAAATTCATGAGACCCCCGGAAAAAAGTACCCCGAGCTGGTGCTCCAATTGAAATGGACACTCACCGGCAGCCAGATACAAGCGAAGAGCGACAAGCAAATTTGAATTATTAATGGAGCCCATATACAGTATACATATACGCATGGGGGCCATCGAGGTTGTGTGCAGCCGGTGTACATGTATCGCTTGAAGTTACTTTGCGGCGAAACCCCCGACGAGTGGCATCGGTTTTTGCGCGCATCTCCTGCCGAGAGCCCCATAACTTATTGCCAGTTAGCGATACCCCCCCCCACCCCTCCCGCATTGTCGTCCCAGACGAGTTCGATTCCTCCCTATCGCTTCTCTCTCTGGATTGGGGCGCACAAATGCAATCACGCGCCGAGAGCTTTCGGGGGATCGAATTGAGTTTTGCCTCGCTGGGGGGCCCTCTTCGGGGCGCCCGCCGATGCGACACCGATAGGGCACCTATACGAACGAAATTAAGTTGTTGCGTGTTGCCGAGCCGGATCGATTAACGTCCGCTCGAAGGAGCGCGCGAGGAACCCTGGCGTGGCGTTTTTTTGTTGTTGTTGTTGTTGTTGTCGTCCACGTGTTTTTCACGTTTCACCAGGCTCCGGGAGCAATCGCGCGGAAAACTCATTGTTCCCCTCCGTTGTTCAAACGTATATAGGACCGATCGAGGAAATACATTCGATGCCCGTCAAACGCAATGGCCTCGACATGTAATATATACACGTTACCAATGTCGCTTATTGCGATGAGGGTTAATTACAGTTTTGGAGTGTGTGTACCTGTACTGAAAATAATTGAGCGCGTGCTGCTTAGAGCTCGGCAAATGAAAAGAGGAAGATGGGGGTGTACGGGCGGAGGGGAAATTTAGAATAATTCGACAATACCCGGGAGTGCGCGGAGCGGAGCAATCGCACCGGAGATCGATCGACCTAATGGGGCAGACGCGCACTTGGTCGTCAAACGTCGCAGTCGAGTACACGTTGGAGGAGGGGAGTCATTATTCCGTACGGAATAACAACTTTGTCCATACGCGATCGCGCACTCGAGCGAGTACTCTTTTTTTTTCTCTCTCTCTCTCTCTCCTTGCTTCGAAAACTTTTTACAGCGGAGGAGGTGGTGCATTTGTGCCCCGGCGCTCGAGTGGAGAGCGCCAACTGTCGACACTCGAGTCGGCTCTCTCTCTCTCTGACCTCCCGCGCGGGGTCGCCGCGGTTCTTCTCCGGCGTCGGGCTGTAGGGCCCTCGAAGCCCCTCTCTTTGCGCCAGATGCCCCCGGGTACAACATAATAATGTGTTGTATATATATATATATATGTGTATAAACGGAGTACCCATGTGGACGTGAAATATCGGTGCAGGTTATTACACTTGATGTTGCGTTATCGAGTTGAATTGGAGGTGCCGATGTTTTACCAGATGGAAATCGTGCACTGGGGCAGTAGCTTATGTACGGGCAATCAATTTGCATGCAATGAACGTGCAGTGTATACGATCCATGCGTTACCACGAGGGTTTCATGTTGGGATGGAAGCAATTATTCGCGACCCGCACCCTTGATACGCTCAAAAACCGATTGGAGGCTTGTGACGATGTAGTGCCGCGGTGGAAAACGGAACGGTCGATACGCTCGTAATCTCTTTTCGTTCATAAATATTTTGTCGCTCATCAAAGTATATCACGACCTCGCTAGGCTTTTGTGTGCCCTTCATCCGCCGTTTACTTACACCGAGTCACGCGAGCCTTTTCCTTCGCTCGAGTGACCATTTCGCGGACATTTGTGTCTATACACGCCATACCCTTTTTAGTTTGCAAAATAATCACGCTTCGTGTATACGATCGAAACGGAATCAAAGCATTATTGTCTCTGCAAAATTAACGAGACATTGAACCGTCAAAAACGATTGCGGTATGTCAGTGACTCGTGGGCATGATGTAATGAGCCACAGTCTCCGTAATTGTGGATTAGACCAATAGTGAAGGAACCTGATCCCTACAAGAGTTGATGGGCCCCGATCGCATGTTGTATACCATGTTACCCTCATTCAGCGAGTAAACGGTACATGTACGATTTAGGTGATTGCAACTTGACTCATTACAAACACATGAGATTCCAAGTGAATGTGTCGAATTCCTTGCACCCCCCAAGGGGATTCAGTATATATATTTACACAAAAGCCCATTAATTTAACAGCGATGATGCTTGAACAATGGTTACATTGAAATTTTTTTTTTTTTTTTTTTCGAGCCAAAAGAGCTCGCGCGCAACCGACGAAAAGTCACGAGAAGCGACGTGCCGCTCATTCTATCTCAAAACAAGATCAGAGTAACGCAGGGGTTGAGGAGTCATGGACCGAAAAAAAGGGGGGGGGGTTGACGCGAAAAATACTCGAACCACTGGCCCCTTTTGTCCACACTGACAGTATTATATATTGACACACGCATACGATAGGCGACCAAGTAATCCGGTACAAGTGCCGCCATCTACCGGCGACCAGGGGCGCGAATAACCAACCCCCTATACATAGGAGTATAGCGCGGGAGGGTAAGGCAGTCCAAACGCGACGCACTCGTGTATCGAAAACACGCACGCACGCATCGGGATGATAAGTATTGTACTTATCAAAGGATCAGCTGAAAACAATATACGTACCGCTACGCTCCTTCGACCTTTCGCGCTGCCCTTTTCGCGACACCCACCCCCCTCGCCCTGAATGACGTTGGAGCACTCGATGACCCTATACGTACGTATGTGTGTGTGTGTGTGTGTTTACCGAAGGATAACGATGCTTGGCTGGCGGCACACTCCGGTGAAGGGTAAAAAAAAAAAGGGCCCAAGTGGAGCCACCCCCTGCCCACCTCCGGCCCTCAAAAGTAAAAAAAAAGAAAACCCCCACACGCGCGTACCAAAGAGTTAACACAAGATTTGATTGTGCAGGTATATAAGTGTATTATATTGTAACGTGGGTACTCACACTTGCATGGGCTGTTTTTCTTGCGTAGCGTCTGCATGAGGAACTCCACTTGTCCGGCTGCCACGAAAACTCTGCCAGAAAGTTGTAGTCGGTGCCGCTTGGCCGTGGACTTGTTATTATTATTATTATTATAGCTTTACTATTTATATACGTGGAGTGATATTGTCGCGGGTACTCGGCTACGAGTGGACGACGAGACGCGCTCGCATGGCATCCAGTGAGACAAAAACCACCCTCCTTTTGGGTCGCGGTGTTGCACCGAGGACACGTCCCCTTGTCAGCTCGGGATTTGGCTTAGCGGGGCAAGGCGCGCACTCCTCGTTTCGTGTGTTTACTCACTCACTTTTTTTTTTTTTTTTTTTTTCCACCTCCGCCTCGTTTCGGGGGGGGTTGGTTCCTTCCTCGCGTCGCGCACCGTTCACTATGGGTGCCTCTTGTCCGAATCAAGTATACTCTCCCCTCCTCCTCCAGGCTCTATTATTTTCTCGGGCGAGTGGCTGTTGTTTCCGTTCTTTGTTTTTTTTTTTTTTTTTTTTTTTTTATTGCGTACACTTTTTTACGCGAACGCGTGAAATCGCGACGGCAACGCACGAGACAGCAGCAGCTGTCCGGCTGTGGCTGTCTTTTTTTCTCCCTCTCTGTTTCGTACGGAGGCTACGGTTGTCTCGTTCTCTCTCGTTCGTTCATAGTGTGGTCTACAGCTCCGCTTCCGAGGCTCCTTCTCTGATCAATAATAGAGCTGCGCGCGCCCCTCCAACTGCGTGCGTTGTGGGTATAATACAATATGATATACAATGGTAAGTATACGCACGCTCGACGTTCATAAGAACAAGTGTGCGTGGGCTCGGAGAGGTGGATGCGTTGGGATTTGGTAAAAAAACAAACAAAAAAAAAAAACATAATGAAATAATTAGGTGCAGAGTGAATACCCTCTCTCTCTCTCTCTCTGGCGGGGGTGGCTTTTGATGGGCACTGCCAGAGGGGATGAATGGCCGAGGCGAGAGGTCGTTGGGTTGGTGGCCCTTGACGGGGGTGACGTTCGTGTGGCGCTGACGAGGGGATTTGGGACGTTTTGGTCAGACGGGATGCAACTTTTCTTTTTTTTTTTTTTCTCTCTCTCTCTCTCTGTGATGCTATCAATCCCTCCCTGCCTCTGAGCTAATATATTGCGAATATATATATATATTTTGAGAGTTGAAAGATTTTCTGGGTTTGTTATTGACATTCGATATCGAGTTCGCATCGCTTACATCAGAGAGATTATAAATATATACTCCTTTTGATTTGCTTTCGAATGGCCATTAGTTAGGTATCCCCCTCATTTTATTTATAATTATTATACGTGTCCGTTACAAGCTTCGTAGGTTATTCAGCGCGAGATTTCTCGAAAGCCTGGGTTTTCATCGATAAAGTGACGAATAAAGTGATGGGGGTTTTTTTTTTTTTATATGCAGGATAAAGAGTGAATTTTATGTGTTTTAAAGAACTTTATTTTGGCATAGGTTGCGTCTCGAGTGATAAATCTATCAATATTATAATTAATCAGCGGTACTTTTTCATTCGACAAGGGAATCCTGCGGTGGCATTGTCAACGATAATTATAATCAAATATCGATTCTACGTTTCCTTATGTATGCAATTCAAGGTCGATTCAAGTGAATCATTTCAGCATCAAAGTTTCTCCGTACAAATTTTCCGTATGTCATTCTGATCACATTTCATTATTTTAATGAATGGTAAAATAATACACAGCAAAAAATAGAAACAACAAAATGGATAAAAAAAAGTCTTTACGTTTTCGTATTTCATCGTTTCAATTGTTTTTTAATTTTTTACGTCTCAAGTTGATGTGAGCGGTACTTACGTTAATTCTCCTTCACTAAATTTGAAAAATAGAGCGCTCTTCGTTCGGTCGTCTGCTAACGGTTTTAGTTTGCGTTTTCATCACCACGTTGGCTGCTGGCGCTAGTGCGCAAAAAATATATGCCAATATTTACGTGTATATGCTTTTAAACATGTTAAACATCAGTGTGTAAGATGTAAAATAACTGTTGGAATAACGAAATTTGTTGTTGATTTTATTAAATTTTGTTAATAAATCATGTCAGAGGACGATAGCGTAATATTTTTGAGAGGAAACGGTGACGAACGTAGGTTAATTACCATTGTTTATATAGTGAAATGAGGTTATGTGATCAGTTTGTTGTCAAACTGATTTTGTAAACACAAATCTAACTATTTGTTTAAAATTATGTTGTGTCTTAGCTTGTGACGATGTTTGGGACGATACAGCTCTTATAACTGCCTATGATAAGGCGATTGGTATAGCAAAAAAAGAAGCATCAAAGAGGATGGGTGTTGAGTTCAAGGGTACAGGTGCTGTTCCAAAGAAAACATTATCTCACAAGCAAACCCGTCAGTCTCAAGCACCAAGGGTATAATTACTTTAAATTTATATGTACAAAGTGCCAGTGGATGGAGTTTTTTTTTCTTATTAGTGACATCTTTTTTATTTAAGAAATGGTGTATTGGTTCTCCCTGTAGAGCAGTATACTCAGAGGATGGTGAAATCTATGAAGCAGTTGTTACAAAAATTTTTGAAAACACAGGAACGTGTATTGTTACGTTTATAGGTATGAATAGATAATCAGATAACTGTTTAATGTTGGCATACTTTAATTTATGCTAAAATGTTGTTTTTGATTCATTTAGTACTTAATAATGATTATTTACAACTTTTCAACTGTCACGATTTATTAACTAGGATACAACAATAAAGAGAAGGTAGAAATTTCTTCATTACTTGAATCAGAAGGCTTACAAAGTCAAATAGCTCAGAAAAAAGATGCAGCAGCTGTTGAACAAAGTACCAGTTCAATGGAATTTGAGTCCCAAAAAGTCAATGGTTTTCAAGATCATCAAATGGATTATGAGGTTAGCAGAGATAAATCGTTGAAAAATATGTGTGCACCTGGACTATCATTTAATCCCGACATTGGTGCGATTCCCCCAGCTCCCCCACTGCCACCGCAACTAATGGCTAGGTAGGTTATAAATATTCTATTTTATTGTTTTCAAAATTAAAACATTTCTTTTCCTTTAGATTACCAGAAAATGATGCTGATGCTCTCTCTAGTATGTTAATGTCGTGGTATATTAGTGGATTTCATACAGGTAAAATATTAATAAATTCAGCTTAAGGTACAAAATTGTTAATCGAATGATAATTGTTGCTTCCAGGCTATTATCACGGATTAAAACAGGCTCGAAGTGAACAGGAGAAAAGAAAAAAATGACTTTTTTTTGAAATTGTAAAATATTAACGATTTATTCTCAATTCGAGTACTTATGTACTATATAGAAAGGACCCAAAGCCACAGAGCTGCTGTAGTTAAATTCGAAAATATTAACGATTTATTCCTTAATTAAATATAATTTTTTAAATAAAAGTTAAAGCTTGATATTTAAAAAAATACAAACTTTAGCAACATAAAATTTAATGATTTTCTTTCGTTACAAACACGCTTTACCAATACTTGCTCAACATCTCGAGAGCATGTAATGATGTACCTCCCCAGCTGTTTTGGTAATTGCATTACCATCATCATCGTATTCATCATTATTTTCTGCATCAGAAAAATAGTCGTTCCACTCTTGATACTTCAAAAGCATTTTTTTTACAGTAGGCTTAACATATTTCATTGCTTGTTTTACATGCTCTATATCGTTCACTCCTTCGTTTTTGTATTCATTAAGGGATAAGTTTTCGTTTTCCAAGTAATCCCATACAGGACGAAGCTGGATCATCCAGGCCTCTCTGCACAATAATCTAAGATCAGCGCACGAATATCCCTTTGTATTCACCAATATGTCCTTGTACTCGACAGACTTGAGTAGCTTTGGCTTCAGATAAGTCTTTAAGATATCATCTCTCGCTTGTTCATCGGGTAAACCGACGTAGATGTGTTTTTCCAAACGTCGCAACAGTGCCTTGTCCAGTTCCCTGTGTGTTGATGATAAATTTTTTACTCTCAACAGATCCAACATTATCTGCATCATTGCAACACAAACCATGGAATATTCGTGGCTGCGAGAAGTAACACGTTCACGGTCTCCATCGACAACAGACCATCGAGGCGCGCCAACAGCTCAGCTCTGAATCTCCGGCTCGGCTCGGACTTGCTCGAGGAGTCTCCTCCGCTCACTGTCCAATCGACTTCATCGATAAATATGATCGACGGCGCGTAATACTTTGCCAAATCCGACAGTACCTGAAAGACGAAATAACGCGACTCCAGCGAGTAAAAAAAAAAAAACTCGTCGATCTACAATTCAGCTAACACTCGCTCACTCGAACGTATTTTTCGCTCTCGCCACGCCACTTGCTGATCAACGAGCTCGACGTTATGTTGAAGAACGTAGCGTTGCACTCCGTCGCCACGGCTTTGGCCAGCATTGTTTTTCCTACGAATGTTATTAAGCAGTTTTAACGACAGCACCACTTCAGTGTGATGAATTAAAAGTTGGATTTACCGGTTCCCGGGGGCCCGTAGAGCAGTACTCCCTTCCAAGGAGTCAACCTCTCGTTGAACATGCACGGGTACTTTATGGGGTAAACGGCGGCCTCTTTCAGCAGGTTTTTGCAGCTGTCGAGGCCCTTGACGTCGTTCCAGTGGACGTTCAGATTGTCCAAAACGATTTCCTGCAACACCGCGTTTACCGATTTGTGACCTTGGAAAAGAAAAAAATCGGTAACACTTTAGCCAACCTTAACGATCACGTCGGCGATCTCGCGCCACTCGGACCCCGGCGGGTAGAGATTGCCTAGGGGCTTCAAGGATTTCGGGCCCCCTCTCTTGTCCTGCGTGCCCTCGATCGCCGAGTACTCCGGTGGGAACAGCTGGGTCACCGTGATGTTGAAGGTCGGATCGAACTTCTCGTTGCTGCTCTTCTTTGAGGCGCTCGTCGGATCGACCACTTCCGCGACTTCATCTAATTTCTGGGGGCTTTTCCTGGCAGTCCTGCTCCTGTCCTTCTTGGACCTTTGAAAAAACGATCGAACGGACGAATGAAATCGATATGATCAATCGAGGGAAAAGGAAAAACTTACGCTACGCTGGCGAAACTCGGCTCTCCTTTTTTGCAAATCTTCGGGTACTTGCTGTACTTGGTGAAGTAGTACTCAAAGTACTCGAGCAGGATCGTGTCGAGGTCGACGTTGTCGCAGACCTCGACGTCGAGCGCGAGCCGCGCCTCTCTGAGAAAAACCTCGCACGAGTCCACGTAGCTGGGGGATGATTTTTTATTTATTTTTGTTTTTTGTTCATAACTTGGTGTCCTTGAAAAATTAATATGGTAAGTGAAGGTGGATCGACGTACTCACCAATTCTCATAGAGAAACTCGGCGATGAGGTACAGCAGGTTTTTCTTGCGCTCCTGCGCGCGCTTCTCCTCCTAATCGTCGTGTTTATACGATTTAGTGCTGAGCTTTATTTTATACTTGGGGGGGGGGGAAACATTATCTCACAAGCAAACCCGTCAGTCTCAAGCACCAAGGGTATAATTACTTTAAATTTATATGTACAAAGTGCCAGTGGATGGAGTTTTTTTTTCTTATTAGTGACATCTTTTTTATTTAAGAAATGGTGTATTGGTTCTCNAAAAAAAAAAAAGTAATCTGGTTTGTTGAACACTTTTGTGGGTAGTAATAACCAGGAGATCAAATGTTACAAGTTCAGACTTAATCATCTTTAAAAGTAGTGCGGATACTTTATTATTTTTTTACATATTTGAAGTTGCAAAAACTTTCACTAAATCATATTAAGACTAAGTATGCAATAATAAACACAATAAACAATGGAAAGTATGATTAAGATGAATAATGTTGGGTGGCAATCGTCTAGATAGCCTTTGCACATGTGCTCCGGTAATACGTGGTCTTGCGTTAGCGTAATAAACGGTATCCTATTTTGTTGACGTTTTTTCTCTGTTTACTTGCGTAGTTAACTGGAAAATATTTTTGGAATCTGACAAAGTTGCGAGTGTGCCAACAGATATTTATTTTTATTTGTCGACTCTGTTCCTGCTTGTTTACAAAACTTGTCGCCTCATTTTTTGCTTTTCAACATATGTAGCAACCATGGACTATTCCACATGGCCCGATTTTCGCGCGGCACAAAGCAAAAATTGAAAAAAAATTCAATAAATTGGTGAGCTGATGAAAACGCGCATAAGCCTCGGTGAGATTACTGAATTAGGCTAAAAAATTGTCATTTGGAATATTTAAAAAATTGACAACAAATAAAGACATACGAAGTATGCGGCTGTGCACCCATAAAGGGACATCCACAAGAGGAGAATAGCAATGGCTGGCATGCATATGTATATTGATGTTGCACAAGCGGTGCATGCAAGAGACATTTTATTCTTCATATTTCTGCTGTCTTTACAGTGAATATTCCTTTATGAGGATCGTCCTCGCAAACCTTGACTACCATAGCACTGATTCTACTCATATTAAGCCAAGACGGTATCCTAAGCTGACATTGCATCGAAAATTTTTTTCATTTGGAACTTTGCAAATAATCATTGGAGCTCTCTCGCGTGACACCCACGATTTATACAAAAAATATTTTGAAGCTACACGTTCTAAAAAAAAAAAAAAAAATCGATGCCTACTTTGTGTCTACGTCCATCTGTTCCTTGGAAGATCTTAACAAGCAACAACAAGGACCTTTCAATACTTTTTTAAAGGGTCACTCAAAAATCCTCGAAATTTTCGAGATATCAATAATCAGTTGCAAAAATCTGGAAAAAGTAAAACAAGCACTGTTGGCTTTGTAAAATATTGTTATTCTAAGTTTTCAAGTCACGTTGCTCGAAAACCTTGGTTCTTTTCAAATAAGAGTGAATTCAGAAAAAATTGCCGATACCATGCAGATTTTTCCAATGAAGGAAGATTTTATTCAAATCCAATCACACCTAAAAACGAAAAAAAAAAAAGTCAAACTTTGTCGACGCCTCGTAATAATTCGCTAGACGCGTTGAAAGATTCAACACGAGTGAGCCCTTAATGCGCGTTGAAAGGGGTGGGGGGGGGGGGCAAAAGGGGGGTTTTGAATAATCCTCCGTTCGCCAAGAGTTGGCCCTTAATGTGCTTCGCGAGCCAAATGCACAGCGGGTTAATTGTTTTCGAGCCATTTATCCTTGGCCACGACTACACCCCACAGCATCTGACCCTTACACCAACTACATTTTGTACCATTAACACACGTATGCTACACATACAGGGAGCCACACCGCATGCACTTTTCTTCGACCGCATACACGTTGAAAGCTCTTCCTCACGTAAATACATGTAGAGGCAAGTTTAGGTATCTCCGATGTTCATCTCGAAGCCTCGCCCTCCCTATCCTCATTTGTGCACATACATATCACGCAAGCCTTCACTCGTTAACTCCTCGCAAGACAATGTATTGCATTTTTTGTTGTCCATCTGTCCATACATTTTATGTGTTTACTATGTAGAAGCAGCAGCCACAGGAGCGAGGCGACTCACCCGTGATGTAACTCATTGCCCGCATCGGGGGATAAAAGCTCTTTTGTAATAAAGCAGCCTCGTCGTTTCCTCCATTGGACGATCCTGTGTACCACATCCACGCGGATTTCGGACGAGCTTTTTGACGATGGCTACGACGACGCTGTACTTTGCGACGACGACTCTGCTGCTCTTGATGGCAAAGACAGGTGAGAAGGAAAAAGGAAAAAAAAAACAACGGAATTGCTCTATTTATAGAGCACCCCTTCTATTTTTTTTTTGCGTGGGACGCTTTTACACGAGCTTGCGGATTTCATGAGGGGATGACCGCTCTAATCCCGATGGATTTTTTTTTTTTTTTTCATCCTCCCTCGTGCTCCTTCCTTCTCTGCTGCTCGCGATGAAAAGCAATTTCGCGTCCGGACCCTCAGTTGGTGAAAATACTTACGTACGGGTACTGTAATGAAAGAAATAAAATTAAAAAAAAGGGTATCTCCCCCGAAAGTGTAAATAACAGAGCAATCGTTCAACGATACCCTATAAGCGCTTTTGTGTTACTTTCGAGCTGATGAGTTTGTACGGCGTTTCAAATTTTCGCGAGATGGATTTACCGGGGCGTCGACACGTTGTGCGAGCGTTACGTGCTGGAATCGAGAAATCTGCTTGTTCTGTAAAATTGACCCTAATGGGAGATTGAATTTGACTCATGTGCGGAGCTAACGCGATTCGTATGGATTTGGGTAAAGTGAGTCAAGCGCGCGACTTTATGGGACAAAATTTCAGAAACGAGACCGTCGGAATGTCAGAACCAAGTATTTTTAATTTTGTGAAAAATATTAATTGTTCGTCTTTAAGCGCATAATATCCGTCGTGGGGAACCTTGAAATGAGATTAATTTATGCTTCCACTTGTGTCGCACAGTACGTATACGTATTTCTCGTAAAACTCCTTCACCGTCCCCCGTGTGTATATAGCTAAGAGCTCCCTGGGCTCAAACAAAAATCGCGAAACAATCCTCGCACTCCGTGAAAGTGAATTATTATGTCCAGCGCGTCTTCGCCCGGGAGGAAAATAAAATAGGTCAGTCAGTCGGTCGGAAGTCAACACCCACGGAACGATGTTCCGCAGCGAAAAAAAAAAAAAAAAAAAAAAAAAAAATTTGTAAAGAACAAATTTTCCCCCCCCCCTGTTTAGCCCACAAAGGAAAAAAAAAAAAAAAAAAAAAAAAGAAAAAAAGGTCCCAATAAAGCACCGCTTCACGAGACGAGGGAAGGACAACTTCACCCTATCCGCCCCCTCCCCCGCCAGTCGCAAGCTGCAGGAAAACGCGAGTGTGTTCGATCGACCCGCAGAGGAAGGGGGTGCGCGCGCTAGTGCACACACGCTTTGTGCATATACATGTATACGAGAGCCCCTCGGTCGGAGGGTGACGCTGCGGCATCGGAGCCAGCAGTGCATCAGTCGCGCGCCGACCAGCTGCAGCGATAACGGGCAGCTTGAGGAAGAACCACCGAAGCCTTTGTCCCCCGAGGCTGGGAGGGTGAAAAGCCGAGTATGACGGGAAAAGTGGACCGAAGGACGGAGCAGTGAAGCCGCTTGTACCCCCAACAGTTGATAGGCGTACGTTATAAGAGAAAAGGGGGTTGGTGGGCAGGTAAAAGAGTGCCGGTGCTGCTGCATATAATCCGCGGTAATAAGCTGCCGATGACGCGAGGACGCGCATGGCCTCGCTGAGCTGAGTCGCATCGGTTCCCACCGTCATCATCGGGCGGGAAGATGTGAACGGCCACGGGGGGCCAGGGCGGCGAGGCGCACCGTATACTGCCCCAGGACGATATGTCGCTCCGAGGTACATTTGCTTATGATTTTTCTCCCCTCGCTTTTTTTTTTTTTTTTTTTTTTTTTTTTTTTTTCCCCTCACCATCAGCTGGCTTTTGTTTTCGCTTAAAATGCATCCTCTTCTATTTTTCGCGTGTATGCGTATGTAGCGCACACACCGCGACACGCTGATGCGGCTGTGTACTCGCGCTCCGTGACGCCCTGCTTCGCTCCCGATGCTGTAATTTTAAGGCTCTCGCACGTGCTCTCTCTCTCTTCTTCTTTTTCGTCGCTCCGTGCGCGGTGTACTCGATACTTTTTTCTTGGCGAGCGTACAACTTTACCTTTTTTTTTTTTTTTTTTTTTCCTCTTTGAAAGTTTCTTACGTGCCACGACGAAGGATAAATAATGCCCCTTTTTTGCTTCTTCGCGTTCCTTGAACAGAGTATTTGGTTTTTCTTTGCTCCGAGGGTGTCGGATGGCGACTAATTTTCTTAGTTACGCAACGAAACTGTCACGTGAACAATGCGTATCACCGAGGAAATTAAAAATTACTTGTTTTTCCCGTACAGAATCCAAGGAGATATAAATTACTTCATTGAAGTTTTTTTTTTTTTTTTTATATGCACGAATCAATAAATTTTTGGATACTTGTTTCGGGGACACATTTTTTTCAAATTAAATTTTATCCACATTACACAGTACCTAGCTGGAATATAAGTACCTATAAAATAGCCGTTTGTCACTCTTTGCCGCTATACTATGTTATAGTTTTGCTCAAAGAAATTATATTTTCAAGCGCATTAGTATACATTTTAACGACTTCAATTATACTGGATTGTCTTGCTATTTTAATAAAATTACATTAAATATATTCAAATATACTCGACGTCACTCTCATGTGAATACTTTTTTTTAAATGATAATAATGCAGACAATCACGTCGTCGTTTGATAATAACTATTTTAATTTAATTTAATTTTTTGGTTTTGTTTTCACAGTACAAAGAAAAACGCTTGTTTGCCATACAGTGAACAGAAGATCGAGATAAAATTTTATTTAAATTAAGAAAATTATTGCTTTTTTAATTGAAGTAGGTATGATTGATTGAAAGATGTATGATATTGTTCAACGATGAACAAAAAAGTAAGAATACCTACTTATTTCAATTAGTTGCCTCAACTGTTCGTGCAAACAAAACGAGTAGAAAAACTTTACGCAATAAATCATGATGCATCCCAAGTGTAGCGTGCGAAACAAAAGTAAAGATTAAGTAGCTACGGTATACGTAATTGTATAAATAATCTTTCGATGGAACAAAAAAAATGAACATTTTAATTATGCAAAATAGATATACCGAATAGATGTAAATGAAGAAGTGCAAGAAAAGAAAGAGAGTTACGCCTAAACAACTCATAGCATTCCCACTTACTACATCGAAAATTGTTTCATTGTTAGCGAAAACATTGTTGCTGTCTTTCTTGAAACTCATTGGATATGAAATTTCAAATCTGTGAATAGATTTTAAAATAAAATTAATCGAATAATTATCAGAAATCAAATTAAATAAAATCAAAGTATTAATTATTTTTTAACCCTTGCAACCTTTAATTTTTAACGGTGA